TGCAAATCTTGAAGCTTCTCCTCGGAGAGCCACAGTGTAGGTATAACGTGTGATTTTACGTTTGCGAACGAACGAGCGAGAGCTTATTGAGCGTTTGTTCATTCCTGATGAAAAAAAATCCTTTTTATACGTCGCGAGCGTCGTAACTGCGTGCAATAAAATATGACGGCGCGATTTCCCTTCGCGATTACGGGAAAGATAGAAGCACTTTCGGTAATAATTAATTTCCACTGTTTATCCAAACCGAAACCTGTTTACAGAGTCTCTTCGTATTTTAATTTCAATTAACTGCATATATTATGCTCAGCTCACGTATCGAAAATATTAAAATTGAACATTAAAATGTTATAATAACGTTAATTAAAAATATTAAAGGCATTTACGCAGTAATAAAGTTGCAAATGTGATGTTCGTAAATGTAAAACTTGTTGCTCGACGAGCTCTGTATCTTCGGATCTTTTCCATTTTTGAATCACGTGTTGAGAGGATCTTTTTTATTTAACAGAAATATGTTAACAAACAATGTACGTGATATATATGTACACATACGTAATTGTAGATTAACAAATTACTTCCAATTATCAATTTTACTATTAACTTGCGCGTGTTGATAAAACTCTGGTTGCAGAGGCAGGATGAAAAGGCGAGGGAAATTTCTTGGACGCTTATGCACGGTAAAAGAACCGTACCCGAAGTTGAAAGCTCGACGCTCAAAAGCGGTTCGCAAATCGTTGCCACCGATGCCTTGTGATTTTCTTCGAGGGAAAAATCACTTGAAGCGTTGAATCGTGCGAATTTGAAAAAGCCATATAATGTTCTTATGTATAAAGTAAGTTAACCTCTCGCGGGCCAATGGTTTTACCGCCATTTTATTTCAGCTTTTTCAGCGGTTTTTCCTTGTGTTTGGAACAAAGTTGCATTCAGTTCTTTATTTGTAGAACTCTCTGCTTCGGTCTTCAGCAAACTAGTTTAATATAGAACATTTCCTTCTTTTTTCGTTTTCGTCGCTTGTATCTGTACGTGTCGCCCCTCTCTCTCTCTCTTTCTCTCTCTCTCTCTCGCTGTCGTTTGAAAGTACGAAATGTTTGAGCGTTTCATTTTTGAAATTCAAATTCTTTGACTTTTTCAATAAATCCGTCCGCGTTTGTAAAGGCTTGATATTAATTGTATTTCTTGAAGTACTTGCTATTATGCTTCAAGAGTTTATTACTACAAAATTTACTTTACTACCTCGGGTTAAATATCTGTCTGTTTGCACGTTAGTAGCTAACCGTGCAAAATTTAAAAAACAAAAAAGAAGAAAAAACACCGACTTTGTCGCACTTGAGATTGACCTAAATTTAGAGGGCGCCTTCGGAGTTTTCCAAGTGGAATCAAATTCCTTTCCAAGCACATCCATGTGTTACGTATCCTTGGCTTTAACACCAATTCATGTTTCGAGCGATAAATTTCCAACCCAGCTTCTAATCTAAAAACGACGGATGAGGTGAAACAAATGACGAGCGCGCAATCGTAAGTCGGTATCTCGTCGTCGGATGGACGACACAATCGGTGAAGAGGGACCCAGTGGATCGTTTAATGCCCCCGGCGTAAGAAACGGCGTAAGAAACTCACCTCTGCCACTTTCCACCAACTTTCTCGAGACGTTAGATTATAGTATACTTTCGATTCACTCTCTTCCTTCTCTCCTTTCCTCTCTTCATCCCACGCTCGCCGGAGAAAAGTTCCCTTCTCCACTCGTGTAACGCTGCCCCGCTCTCCTACCTGTGTTTCTTTCGCGTTAGAGCCCTCCCAGGCTAAACTTCTGGCCCATTAATTTACATTTGGACATTTTTCAAGAGTTCCCGTGTACCTTAAAATTGGCGAACTCGTCTTTTTCACCGCCACCCCATTCGTCCCTTCTGCAGGAAGAGCCCTCGAGTTGCCTGTCGCGTTCGTTCCCTTGTCCGGCGTTACGCTTGAATTCTTTGCCATTAAACGGCGAGGCAGAGAGGACAAGCTCACACATACAGGTCAGATAACTTTATTACTCTTTATATCTGGTTCTTTTATTATTTTCAAGCGTCAATGGAAAATGGCAGACCGTGTGACCGATTCTATCGCGACTCTCTCACAGTGTGACACAGGGTTTCCTTTTTTTTTCGTCGGACAGCGACGGAGAGGTTCTCTCATGAATTAACGAGCAAACAGTATTCATAATTCACCCGTCTCCGTCAGATCGGAAATTCTAAATAACGAGTTTTACGACGGCGAAAGTAGAGGAGCGAAGTGCTTTCGCAAAGTGTTCGCATTGATAACTTGCATAACTTAGTTTACTGCAACGTAGATTCGATGAATAAGTTGCTTCTCAGAAAAGCAAAAAACTATGGTTTTTTTTTTTT